TCTGGACACCTTCCGAACCTCTCTTCCAGTGGCCTTTTGCCGCAAAATATACATTCCCCCAGCCATCATGAGTGAAGAGTGATTTGCCAGGAAACCGCCGTCTGAAACAGACTCTGGGAGTTATGTATGCATACTTTCCGGATTCTCTTTAAGCAAGCCGATACTGCACATTCAGAGTTGAGATCCTTTCACTTGCCCCTCAGCCTGCCCGAGCGGGGATTTGGACATCCGATAGATCCAAACTGGCTCCTACTAGATCGAGCCCACGTGCGAATGATGATCCCTGTTAAAAAGCCTTATCGGTATCGGACCCACTTGATCTCCTTGATCACTCGTTCAAGAGAACCTGAGCGGGTTTATCTCAGACTAGGGGGAACCAAAAAAGACACACGATAAATGCAAGGGAATCATTTCACCGGGAATCGTTTCACCTGTAGTAACAAGAAGTTTTTTAGGTCTTTGACGCTTCGTAGTAATAAAGCTTTCTAGTAGCGACCAAAGCTTCCTTGGGAATCGTTTCCCATTCACAGCGCTCCGCTCTTTGAGGCACCGGTCCACTTCAGCTTTGAGCTCTGGCTGAATCTGCATCCTGCCCGCAGAGTCGAAGGATCCAGTGGAGTCCAGTGCTCTATAATTCGTTCAAGAAGTTCTTGTTAGGGCATTCACCACATCTTTCCTCACCAAGCCACAGACCTCCCAATCACGGCATGCTTGCTTCCAACTTTCCACGTCGGCCCACGGAATCAGTGTTTCTTGGCAAAGGACGTACCAAGTGGGAGTGCTGAAGAAGTTTTATCGCTTCGCTTTCGTTTGTTCTTCACCTCATAAGCTTTCACCCATGCCGCCATCAGCTGCCTTGTGCCTTGTCTCATCCAAGAGCAAAAATGACCTTGGATAGAAGAGTCCTTTGCACCCAGCTCTGCCCCATCGGCTCTGCCCCATCGGCTCTGCCCCATCGGCTCTGCCCCCCCGGCCTCCGAATGTCATGTCCCTGCAGCACCAAGCCATCATTGCTGCCTTCGGTAGGCGCACCGGGCACGTTTTTGACGGTGCACCGGGCACCACCGGCCAAGCCGCGCCCCACCGGGACCCTGCCTCCTGCCGTAGGTGGAGGCTCCGGGCTGATGCGGTCCATACGAGACTGGCAAGGCGATCGGGGCTACAGAAACGGCCAAAACATGATGACTGAATTCTTACAATATCAGTGATTTCAGTGATATCCATTCTTCCGCATCTTGCCATCAAGGTTCAGCTGGCTCTGGAACAATCTGCCCGTATATTTGTCATCTCTTATTCTCATCAGCATTTGTTCATTCATAATCTTCATTAAAAATCTGATGCCTATGGTTAAAATATAAAGGCTTGGAATTTTTTAATTCTTATTTATTAGTTTCCAATATTAGAAAATTCCATAGCATGTACCGCATCAATCTCTTGAAAAAATGAGCTCCGAAGACTGGCTGGTCCTGCAGCTACCGAATCGGACCCCAAAAACATGCGGACAATGTATGAGTTCCCTTCCGAAGGTCCTTGGCATATCTCACAAACTTAGAACCAATCCCCTGAAAGCGTTTCGCATCAACGTGGTATCATCAGTCCACCCATCCAGCCATCCCCCCCCCCCCCCGGCCCCCCCCGGCCCCCCCCCTCCGCGCCAGGGTCTTTGCCCTCACCACACGGGAAGGCTTCTTGACAGAACTCAGCCCTTGGCATCCAGCCGCTGGTGGTCTAACCAGCTCGATGGATCTACATGGCCCTCACTGGAGTTCGTTTAGACCCCGACCGGTTGTAGCCTAAAAAGAGGGTGTGTTCTCAGAAGAAAGAAACCTTGCACCCCCAAAAGAATGGAGATGTCTCAAGAACTTGCAAGCCTTTGAAGTTGAAGTAAACAATGTTTACACTGGAAAATTGATGAGTTCCCATTCTGGGCAGAACAAACATGTCTACCTGAAAACCTGGAACCACATTCCTCCCTAGGAAAAATAACAGTGAAAGGTCATCCACTGATCCACTGCTTTGCTTGGGCGAGGGATTCCTGCATGTATAAATCATCATTCTGGTTTGGTTGCGCTACATCATTGGAGTCCGGCATCAAGTCAGCAACTTGGGATATAAATGGAAGGCTCTCCTCAATTTCACGCTTGCTAAGGAATTGAAACCACTGATCCATAAAACCAAACAGCGCCTCTGCGCCGCAAGAAGAATTCTGAAACGTTGCTCGCGGGAAGGCCGCGACCGAGCAGAGCAGGACATGGTTAGGGCAAATTGCTAGCGTAGGTCTGTAGAGACATTTTAACCAACCTGCAAAAATGCCTTCTGCGCCTGCACTTTTCTCTTGTTTTCGGGACTTGATGTTTAAAGAGACTTGGAATGTGCTTGGAACCTGTGGAAAGCAGGTTTTGTTTCTTTAACACATTTCATTAGCCAAAAAAACAATTGGACAGACCAGACCGCAACTTTTTGCTCAGATCATTTGGATCGTTCCTTCGTTCACCCGGGTGCCGCGCCGCTGCGCTCGCAGGCGAGGGAGTCTTTCGGGAGGCTGTAGAAGACCATATTGTTGCCCTCAGACCAACGGCATTTTGGAGACGAGCGGTTTCAACCCCGTTCTGAAAAATTATCCTCCTCGCCTTTCATGCAGTGCGCCGCCCGAGCCCATCGTGCGCCTCCTATGTTTGACCCTCAGCTTTCCCTCTTTCCCTTCAAGAGTTTATGATCTGACCTCGGTGGAAGTATACGGGTATACCGATTGAGGTGTCCTTGCACTGGGACCTTTTGACAATCCACAGGAGAAGTAGTCCACTTGCACAAGAGTCAGACTCAAGCCTTCTTTGATTGTTGGGATCATGCAAATGCGGAGGTCCAATACGCCTCCTTGCTCAAAAGAGCGCAGAATCACAAGAATTCTTCAAACTTCCCAGAACTCAGCCATCTTACGGTCCCATCAAGTTCTCAAGTCTCCATCTTAGTCCTTCAGTTGTCTTTTTCAAGTCTAGCTCGGCCCCCTTGCAGGCGTCACGGCAGCCGGCAATGCAGGCGCAGGGGTACTGAAAGCAAGTTCGTCTCTGGCATGGAAGGTTTCGACCGGAATTTACCCTTCTGATGTGCAATGCTTATAAAGAAAAAGAACCTGAAAAATAGCAGAATGTAGACAAATACAGTACATAAGGGTGTTTTTTTCACGGGACTGACTGCCCATCTGAACTCAGAAAGACCATCTGAACTCAGCCGCGGGCGGCGTCTCCGCCGGGCGCTGCCTCCGGGTGGAGGCGGACCTGCAAAAGAAGACGAAGCTTGGGAAGCTTGGTCGCCCTGAAGCCAATTGACGCTGACAGGTACTCACTCACAACTGTTGTTCACTTTCTACATCTGTCTGGAAACGATAGAATGATAAAAAGTCGAAAGTCAAAAGTCTCTCAGGTTTATGGGCAACTTGCTTTCCAGCCCCTACAACCACCTCATCCCTTCGCTCGCCACGATGGCGAGAACGAAGCAAAGGCACGGATGTGTCACTTTTTGGTGGCGCAGGATGTGAGCTTTGCACGGCCGAGTGAAACCAAGGCGAAATTGGTCATCTCCCCATCTGGGGGAATCAAGCTACGTTAACTCAGAGGATGAAGCACAGGGCGACCAGCCAAAGTGTCTCTTCAGCCAACGGCATGAGCTGTGCACCAAAGAGCTGAAGGCTGCGCATCACCTACGAATCCGAAAACATCAAGAAGCATCCAGCAAACTGAAACTCTATATATATATATATATATCGCCTTAGAGACGTAGCAGCTAGCACTTCTCTTGAGCTTCACCCATCTATTCATGACCCTTGCACCGGGTCGAAACTGATCATCCGCAAGTCACCAACCGTCGCAGCCTCTACCGGATGAGCGTGCAGGCGATGCACCTCCTTTGCTTAGTTCACGTACAGTGATGCACTAGAAGCTGTAATACGTAAGGAGAGAGAGAGAGAGAGAGAAAGAGAGAGAGAGAGAGAGAAATCTAGGGTCCTATGTCATTTCTGGGAGCGCAAGGTCTCGACACTTCAACACTTCTGCAAAATCCACGCATACAACCGATATTTTTTTGTGGGGGAGGCCGTGTAGAGGTGAGGTAGGTTAGCTGGGTAGGTAGCTAGTGGAAGCTAGGTAGCTAGTAGCTAAAAGTAGCTACTACCCAGGACGCCGGATAGCTCACGCTTCTAGACTTTTAGGGAAACTGAATAGCGATGGCCTCCAACAAGACCGTCTTGGCTCGAACACCTTCACCCCAAGAAGAAGTCTGAGCTCTGAGACTTGTCCCACCAACCAGCAGTGAACTGGTAGTGAACAGGGTTCTTGGAAAAAGCACCGTAAACCAGTGAGACCAAATATGATCCAATTACATCCAATTACCAAGATCCACCGAGATCGGCCATAGCAAGAAGTACAGGACAAAATCTGTGCACCGAGGCGCTCAGGGCTCATCATCCTCGTTCTTCACACTAACAGTATAAAACCTGCGGCCGGTGATGCGACCGTCCTTGCAAAATCGAGGCGCTCACCCAAAATTGCGGACAACACACTTCGGAAACCTCCGCTTCGAGTTTCGTCACTCAGCAACGGTAATCACCAAGTGGTTTGCGCCCCTCGAAAGCTTTGTGACCTTTCTCGTGGGGAAGGTGGAGCGTATGTCCTTTTACGATCTGTTGATGCAAATCCCCAAATTCAATCTCTCTATATACTTGTCTGAGACTTGCCGAGCCCTTGGAAGACATTGGCCAAAGGTGAAGTGTCTGCAGCATGAAAAGTACCATCTCACCCCATGTCTCACTTCCTGCTTCTGGGATTTCCCAACCTCCTTGTTTCATGGTTTTGCGCTACTTGTAAAAGTCACTCATTCGCGGCTGTAGTAATTCCATCATCTTTTATGTATGTCGGGGATGTGCTCAAGAACTGAAGAATTGACCTAACCCAATGCTCAATGCTGGGCTAGTAGTTTTGAGGGACACCTGGTTGGTGCCAATCCCTTCATCCAAGGAGCTGCTTGGCAAACTCCAGATCTGGGTCGCTAAAGGAGGTCACGAAGCCAAAAACGAACCTCTGCCATTGGAGCCACCCGTGGGTTCCATGAACAGCTTCGGCGACAGGGAAAATCAAAAACATGGTCACATGGTTGCACTCCCCCTCACAGGACTCAAACATCACCAGGCATGAACTCCCACAATCTATAAACTAAATAGTTGCAACTTGCAACATGTTTTGTTGGGAAAGCACTCAGAACATGCCTGGTCTTCCTACAACTCTTCATGGAAACTGCTGCTGCAGACCAGGTGCTTTTCCAGCGCAGTATCCAGGAACGCACCTCGCTTCCACAGCTCAGATCAATCTGATGAATCAAACGGTATTTGTTTTGCAACGAACAGGGGGGTTTAGAATATCTTTGCCCAAGCCGCACACTCAAGGTAATGCGTACTGAACTGATCGCCCCAAACCCTGAAGAAGCCTAAGTGAAAAAATTGGGCCTGGGAAAACAGGTAGTATGTCGCAAGCCTCAAAAAAATTCCAACTCCTGAAGTTCATCTCAAAGGTGGCGAACTCGTGACTGCAGCAAAGTAACCGCTGCAAAGGCGGGACACATTGTTCTACTGACAATCAGGGACCATGAGGAAATAAGCTTTAGCACTCAAGCAGGTACGTGCAGCTGGTCAAGCTGCATATCCTGAGGTCACCATAGAGAGAGCTTCGTTGGGCACAGCTCTATATGGGCCTCCTGCGCCTCTCCTTCTTTAAATTCACGAAGCCGAGAACCAACTCAAAAGAATCCCTGTGACTCCAAGGGCTTCACACACACCCACACACACACTTATGGATATGCATACGGAACTGATAGCGGTGCCACACGCCAGCCTAAGAAACCCAA